ACAACATTCCTCAGGGACACCCAGCCTGGAATGTTGTTCTCCTTGACCTCTGCTTGTTAAACTCTATTCACTTTTCAAGATACTCTTAACTGAGCCTTAAGACTGACAAGAATAGAGCCTTCTTGAGACTCTACATCAGAAGCACATCCCTTCCATCTTCCTGAGTGCACTCATCACCTCCCGCTCTAACATGGCCAACTTAAAAATCTGAGCTCCCAAGCAACAAATATCACATGTCTTTCCCCTGTGTATCCCCCATAGCACGGGGCACTGAACACAGCAGACACTCGTTTGCTACTCGTCAAATCAAGAAGCCAGTCATCCTTATCTTGTTTGCTACACCAAAAAAAATTTTAAAATGATTAAGAATCACCATGGCTTAGAGAAGAGTTTTCAGTTTCCAGATGACTGTGAACTATTAATTGATCCAAGGATTGATACCCTAATATGAATCTTTGTAATCTAATTTTGTTCAGTGAATTTATTTACACTGATCTTTCTATGTGTCTCTCTGTCTCTGTCTCTATCTCTGTCTCTGTATCTCCTGTCTATATATAGTACTTCCCCTTACCCACTTACCTTGGGGGATATGCCCAAGATCCTCAGGAAGTGCCTGAAAATACTGATATTCAGGATAGTACTGAACCCTATGAATGCAGTATTTTCCTATAAATGCATATCCATTATAAAGTTTAATTTATAAACTAGGCACAGTAAAGATTAACAATAATAACTAATAATAAAATAGAACAATTATAACAAGCTATTGTAATAAAAATTGTTTAGCACTATGAATATTTGTTTCTGGAATTTTCCATTTAACAATTTTAGACTGTGGTTGAGTGCCCATAACTAAAACATGGAAAGCAAAACTGAGGCTAAGGGGCTACTGTCTATACACTACAGATCCCATTGGATCTGTTTCCCTAGAAAATCCTGACTAATTCAGCCTCAACAGCCCAGAAGACTAAGGCATTCATGCCAGTGTCAAGGCTTAGTCTCAATAGATGCTGAATGTCAGTGCATAGTACATTTGTTCATACAGGAACACATTTTCCCAAGGTCCAATGTTTCTTCCACATGGAAGGACATCTGTTGTGACACGCTTAATCCTTCCCACACCTGCTAAGCTTTGGAGTAAATCTGGCCTCTCTTCAGAAGTGTGGGCAGGGAAGGGACAAGGTCACACATATATCTTAACTTCACAGTTTCTGAAGTATACTTATCTAGGGAATATCCCACAGTGGACCCTTGGAAAACTTCAAAGAACCTGGGATAACAGAGCTGAGGTGGCCTTTAAACTGTAGAGTATGTTCCTGCTACTGAGGGGGATTATTACACTTGCTTCTACCTTTAGGAGATTATGAAGAGCAAATAAGAACACATACGTGAAATTTTCCGTAAAGATTAACAATAATAACTAATAATAAAATAGAACAATTATAACAAGCTATTGTAATAAAAATTGTTTAGCACTATGAATATTTGATATTTCATCCCAGGCCATGAATGTGAGGAGGACTGTGACCCTACTGATATAGGATCCCAGCATCCCACCCTGCCAAGCTCAACCCAAGTATTTCTGCAAGTCAAGACCTATCTTATGTGTGTTCCCCCAACCATAGAAGCAGCTGCCAGGTGGCTGTTGAACATCCCCCATCATCTACCAAGTATGCAGTTAACCATTAACCATGGAAGTTGTAGTGGAGAATGTTTTCCTCCCTGTGTGGTGGTTTCAGGGGTGCTCAAACAGAGATCCTCTCAACTCTGAGTTTCCTCCTGCAGTTGATCCTCTCCCTCCTTAAGGGTGGAATCAGCACTGGACAAGATTTGCCTGACAGACACCAAGCTCACACCATCATTCTACCCCTCCAGGATCTAAGGCCTATTTCCAAGCCAAGACTGTGATCTCTCCTCCCATAGGTGTGGAATCTTCCAGGGCCCCTGAAATCCCTGTTTAGCTTGCTAGACCAATTTGCCAAAGATACCCAGAAATATCTAAATTCTGGTGGTGGATACAGTATACAATACATTTAAAATAGTGATTGACGTGACCAGGTCCAGAGCCTCCCTAAGGCAATTTCAATAGTGCTCTCAATAAAAGGGGCCTCTCAATCTTGCACGTGTTCTCTGGCCCATTCAATTCCAAACTGATCTTGAAACTCTTCCTCTCCTCTGCGTCTGTCTCTTTCTCTCTCTCTCTCTCTCTCTCTCTCTCTCTCTCTCTCTCTCTCTCTCTCTCTGTTTTGGTACTGACTGTCCCTTATCTGGACCATGGAGGCTTC